CAGCCTTGCTAGAGCCCGGCTTGCAGGAGGGTTTTAGCCCTGTGGGATCTTCCTCTGTTCTGGCTCAGCCCAGGGGGCTGGTGCTGCTGGGCCCTGCGTGGAAGGTGGAGAGCAGCTCGGCCCGCTCGTCGTGGCTCACAGCCACAGGGAAGGGCACAGGGGGGGTCTCCCCACCCCGGATAGTGCTGTCAACCCTAACCCTAACCCTCAGGCAGGCCCCATCCTGCTGTCTTCACCTGAAATAAAGGCCTGAGCTCTGCAATCGCTCACCAGCGTCCAGGCTCTGCTTCCAGGGGGGCTCGGGGAAGGGACGAGGGCACATGGGTGGCACACCCGGGGGATCCATCCCTGTGCTCAGCATCACCCCCTACACCTGGGACCACCCTGAGAGTGTCACCCAAGGACACGGGGAATGAGGGACATACCACATTCCCCCCACACACCCAGGATGAGGGGGAGTTTGGGATGGACTACACAATCTCCCAGGGTGCAGCCTGGGGGTGAGTCGGGCAGCTGCAGTGGGAGGGGGGGATGCTTAGGTGGGCTCAGTCCCAGCTCAGAGGTGGCCACTGTCCTCCCTGGGGCTTGGGGTGTGCTCCCCAGCTCTCCACACTGGCCACAGCTCCCTGGGAAGGTGTCTGCCCTCTCCAGCTGGCTCTGGGACATGCTCACCTGCACCAGGGAACATGGTTCGAGGGGTGGCCCTGGGCCCTGGGAATGTCCAGCTGGGACCGGCGCTGGCCCAGGCCAGGGCTTCACGGTCACATGGGAAAATGGCCCTGGTGCCAACAGATCTGGAACAGGCCTTGTGCCCACAAGCAGCCCCCCGTGCCCCTCATCATAGCCCTGTGGTGCTCTTACCCCTCCACAGCTCCACAGGCTGCAGTGAGAACTGACACAACTCATTACACCGACAGCCCAAGCACCCCAGGGTGCCTTTTGGCACCACCTTCTCACAGCTGCTGGCACCGGGGGTTGCTTAGGGCAAGGCAGGTGCCAGTTTTGGCCCATCACCGCTGCCCACAGCTGGCAGAAGGCAGCAGGGAGACCTTGCCCTGCCTGGCTATGAGCCACGCGGCTCCTGGATGCTATAAAGCTCCTGGCCCCGGGGCCACAGCCCTATCCTGCCAGGATGGCGTTCCTGTGGGCAGTGGCCTGCGGGG